CGTGTCCTTTGTCCATGTTTTTGTTCTGACATGTGCAGTGACGCTTTTGGTGAGGCCCTGCCGAGCATCCCCGAGCTGCCGGTGGTTGGTTTTGATTTCTCGCACTCCGTGCGCTCAACTGTTTGCCTTTTCCATGGGTCGATTCCTCACCCCAAACCGAACACAGCATGTTGCAGGCACGTGAACGAGTTGCCAACATAGGTTGCTTGCAACTTACGAGTGCACCAGGCATCCCCCGACACATGAGCGGTTTTGCCTACATCCAAATGTGACTTAAAACTGATTGGAATAATATAGATTGGGATGTTCACTCAGTGATTGCGCAGTAGCGAGCGTTGGTCACCGCTGGGACAATTGTGAGGTCACTATAAGCCACGTCAAGATTTATCAGAACAGCTTTCACTACATCTAAACGGCTTGGCAAATGTCAACCAAATCTCTGTCAACTCATTAAATGGATCCGACTGCTGCTGAAGTCAAGGGAATCAAACCCCTGTTTTATCAAGCAATCAAGTCACACCAACTAGGTGCACAACCCTTCAGCTCATTAGCTGGGCTGGGACAATAGCTTACAATTTGACCACAAAAAATCGTGGCTTTCTGTTTGGATTCCCTGACAAATGCGTTCAACCAACCTCGAACGTGTACCATCAACCAAACATAGACACATCTTTCACTTGCACCCCTGGGGAGTCAGAGCCGATGTTCGGCCAGCCCGTCAGATTTTGAGACCAACACAACGGATGTCGAGCGGCTGGCGCATCCAAAATCGATTCTTCGCCCCGTGGCCAGCGCGCAGGATCGACAACGGCTGCGATATTGTCCACACGTCAACCCCGGGCTCCTGACGCCAAAAGCGACGTTCAGAATCCCGAGCTTTGCGGTGAGAAGGGAAGCCTTCCGATTCCAAGCGGGGATTTCCTTTCCGAGGCCTTTGCCCAAGATTCCACTCAAGATACTGGAATACGGGGATAGCAAGAGTTCAGCGAGTTCAGTGAGCCTGACACCTGCGCTGGAATTTGGACGTGGCTCCGCCAAGATGAAGAGCAGTGAGTGTGGCTTCCTACCGGCCAGAAGGTGGGGACCCCTGAGTGTGAAGCTGTTCCATAGAAATCAGAGACGATCAAACTCTCCGTTGCATTCACTTACTGCAAGTTGGCACCCTCATGGGTAAATCTCAAAAGGCATCTGGACGAAGGACATGCTTCAAATCACAGCATTTACGCTTTTTCATGGTACACGGCAGGCTACAAATCCGATCCCCAAACCCCAGTTGATCCGGGAAAAGCACACACAAACAGCTTCGTGGCAGCCAACAAGGGCCGGGACTAGAGGGTACTGACACTGTACACTGATTTGGGTCTCGCAAAGGACTACCACCTAAAAAAACAGGAGAAACCAGCAAGGCCTGTTGCCGACATGTTAGGCCGAATGCTGCGAAACTGGAATCATCTTAGGCCCTTGAACCCGTTTTGGAAGGGGAAAGGACGGTATACGTTCCAATGACTGTCTGAACACGGTTCAGGGTTGATGACCAGTCTTGACTGAATCGGCAAAGCGCGCGAGTGCCCCAACATTGTACATTTGAAAGTCCTCAAACCGCTTCGAGGAAGGAGCAAAGCGTCTAAAGAAAGCATATGTTTAGGCCATTGCCATGCAATTAAACGAGCTTGGAATATCAGCCGAATGCAAAAAACACAAACATGACATTTTCTGAGAGACTGCCCTCCGGAACCCCTTTGTGCATCTAGGAACCTCATGCAGGAAACTGGCTAAGGCTCCCCTGCAATTGTGCACTTAAAATCCTGGGAATGGCCAATGTGTATATATATATATATATATATGCAGAGACATGTATAATGTGTACATCTATATATATATATATGTATGTATACATGTATTGCTCTCACCCCTGCCTGGGTTGCCAGTACAAATGCACTTTGCTGCCGCTGCTCAATGACTTATGCAATGGGCATGGGCAGTGCAACAGTGTGAATATTGGCATCTGTATTTAGCTTGTTGTTAACGTTGCTCTTGCTGAACAACTCAACATATGAAAACTATCAGCATTTGTCAGTGCTTAGCATTTGTGTGGTACAAACTTTTGAAGATTGGTGACTGCAACCATGCTCAAGTGAGAAACAACATGCACATCGTGAAGCTCAGATTGATACACACACACACACAAAAAGCCTGCAATGTAACAAACTTGTGCAGCTTTTGAGGGCTAGCTCCAAAACCCGCACAAGGACAAGTTGATACCTTGGAAGCTCACACATTGCACAGCGACGGGCAAACCCAAGGAAGATTGGGCTGTCTCTGAGAAGCTTGAGCTTTCTGGCGCCGAAACGACAGCTGTTAGCATGGAACATCCTGGTCAAATAAATTTGGGATCAGTAAACCCAAAAGTCGCCCACCATGCCATTCGGAGGGACTCCCAATTCTAGGATACATCCATGGGGAATCAACCTTGTGATGACCGTGACTTGCAAACTTTCCGTGCTCGCCAACATCCAATGCAGCATATTGAGGGCAGGCACCACGATGTCTACTGCTTCTATTTGACGGGGCCGGGAGAGCTCGTACAAGCATCTGTTGTGAGTCAGCAAAATCACATTCGGTCCGGATCATGACAGATCTCGACAAACTAAGAATAGCAAACCACGGACTTGATGCAAACAAAACAACTTGAAAGTGGTCTTTAAGGTCCAAACTGCCCAAAGCTTGGGGTGAAACCCCATTCGAAATCGGCTTTCCCTGGGCCGTTGCAGCGCCGACTTTCTGCCTTGCCCGTGTATTTTTTTCACGACAGACCCGGCCCACCAAGCTCCAAAGTCGCATTGTAAACCATCTTGCCTATATACTCACCGTTCCCCTAATTGGTGGTTTGCTTTGGAGGTTAGGACGTTAGAGGCTGCTTTCCCCTTAAATGGTTTCAGAAGGAACTGGGGTCCAAACCTCCAAACCACCAATGCAAGCCACCTATATCAGGCACTCTGCAGATCAACATGGAAACCAAGGAACATCGATCCATGTTTAGATGAGTCTCCTCCTGTGGAACCCCCTTTTTCGGTTCCATGCTAATCTGCGGGGGAGTAGCAAGTAAACCTGCTGAATTCACTGAATACTCCTATCGCAAGTATCAGCGCTTCAATGGAAAAATATCGACACTCCCAGCGAGATGGTCACTGGAAATTGGAATCGTTGCCCCCAGTTGCCATTGAAGAAAAAGGAGCGCTGTGGCCTAGGCCACGCCTGTGCAGGCGACAAATGGCGAAAGGCGTGCACCAAACATGAGCCAAGCTGCAAATTGGATCCGCGCTCAAACCCTATTGCAATGTGAACATATTTTGGCGGCTCCAAAACAACAGATCCTTTGGACATGGGTGTTTCTAGTATTCCAAGGTCATTCTCAGGAAGTAAGCTTGTCAGCAAGTCTGGGGCGAATCTCCTTGCTTCAATTTAGTTGCAATCCGAAACTCAGATTTTGGGTGGCTTCGAGTCTGTCTCCTTGCGGTTCAGTTCGCCAGACAGATGCAGTGCACCTGAGACCTCGCCCTAACAGAAGCAAACCAAACAGACACCAGAATGAAACCGACACAAGTTTCAAGCGCCCATGTTCATCTGACAGGGCATGACAGGGCTAATCCGTTCATGGTTATGGCAAGAGTTGTCTTGCAAGCTCGCGACTCAAAAGACCCTTTCCAGGGACCAAACAGGAGAGGGCGACCCTGTTCCCGGCATCTCTGTACCATTCTAATGCTTGTCCACAAACAATATATATATATATGCAATCTATCCAGTATGCACACTGCATAATCTTCAGATACATCTGTATGTGCCTTCACGACTTGGCGGAGATTTGCGTGGTTTAATTTTCTCACGGACAGCAGATCAGCCTCCCTATGGAGCCCTCATGTTAAACAAAAACCACGCTGGTTGACCCAGACCTTCGCATAGAGAGGAAACTCGCCCTTCTATTCCGCTCAACAGGACTCGACCCATGGACTTTGCACCCGCGAATGTGCTTCTTTTTTTATTTCTCAGCGTACTGATCTAAAACGGGCCATGTGGCTCTGCACATTTCAGTGATTGCATGATGGTTTCCTCGTTAGTGGTCTTTGACTGTCGTATACCGTTGGGCTATGTTGAGCTACTCTGGCCAAGATCGGGAGTGCGCAAAGGGCGAGGCACCAAAAGTGTAGGTGGGATGAGCACCTCAGCGACCTCAACCGCAAGGCCAGTCCGGAGTGACGGAGCTCAAGAAGGATTCGCACGCGGAGAAAAACAAAAGCCTCACCTTGGAAAAGACTCATTTCCTTTTGGGCGTTCCAAACCTCATAGTTGGAGGTTGATTACTGGGCTCGCTTCGTGGCCAGGGCAAGAAAGGGCGCCCAAATAGCTTGCTCCGCTCTGAGCGGTCTCCGCCGTCCTGCGTAAAGCGAGCCGCGAACATGGCGGTATTCGCAATGTAACCGCAAGAAACTGCGGCGCCTCGTTGCTGGAGTACAATGCCCAATGCGTGTGTCTCTAAAGGGATGGGGACGCCCCAAAGAGGTTTGTTTAGGTTTACCCCAAACATGCTTAAACTACGTGCTCCCACCCTTCGGAATTGTGTGGCACAAGGGAGTAGTACCAACTTTGAATTCCTGATCGATAGTAGAAAATGACAGCATGATCAGTACCTTTTGCGCGCAACACGTAAAGCTTCAAACAGAAAATGTAGGAAGTCTCTCTTTTGGGCAATAGGATACACTGGATCCATCCATCTCCTTGCCGTCGGGGAAAAACATCTATACTGTGGATCGACTTCAATGGGACGCATCCCAAAAAGAAAGGTACAAAGTATTCGTATCAACCAACTGCAGAAAAGAGACACAGAAAACAGAGAGTGCCATTGTTCACTTCCGAGTCTGAGAAAAGACTACTAGAGAGATCCACCCAAGTCGTTTCATTGTTCGACAAACAAGGGGAACCCCTGATGAGTCTGGAGTGGGGTTTGCCAAACCAGAGTGGGCATCATATGCCTTGAAACGCCTTCTGCACTACTCCATAACTCTGTGCAGGTGCAATGTCTTGTGAAACGAGATGAGACGAGACGTCTTAGCAAATCAGCAAAGCTGGCACAGACATCAGAGGCCGTAAACTGTGAGAAACACCTGGTGGTTACAGAAATTCGAACTGCATGGCCCCCCATGACGAGCGTGATATCCCAATTGAAATGGGATCGCAAAGTCATGGGGCCTTGAACAACCACAATGGGGTCAGAAATATGCATGTATATATAATATATGAGATAACTACATACATTATACATTATACATATCATACATATTATATGTATGTATATGATATATTATAGTAATATGGACTCAGAGACATGAAACCGTATGTGATTGATGGCCCCCCACTTCTGTTCATCAGCAAACGAAAGCACCCTGGCAGCAGTGTCACTTGAAAAACACAGTTCAACTTCCCATTAGGGCCGCCCTTTGTCAAAATGTGTTGATTGCTGGGAATGCCTCCAACTTCGATGTGCAAAACTACGAGTGTTTCTCGAGGAGAGTTCTGTGAGGCCCCCTCTTTTTGACAGGAAATGTGGATCCCGCCTTCCAGCGGTCAATCAAACTTAGGATAAGCTACCAATCGTTTTGTGAAGATAAGATGGCCTCGCAGCTTAGACGTGCAAGGGCCCAAGCGCTCAGCCTTGCAATGAAAACTTCGATTGTCAAAAGAAATGCCGTGGGTCACTGTTGCTGGCATCTTCCTTGAGGAAGTCTCGCCTCGCCAGTCCAGGAATTTGCAAAGTTCATGGTATGTCTAACTACAGCCTATCTGACTACCCCCCCTCCTGGAATTAGAGCTTACTTTAGCTCCAGTCAAATTAACTTGGGGGGGGTAGTTGGCTCGGGGGTACTTGGACATACCATGAAAAGTTAAAACTGCCTGGGGTGTACCCTAACTAACGCCGCATGATGCATTGCCTCCGCAGCTCCCGAAGCGGTGATCGGTTAAGTGTTCATGTTGCAGGCTTCCAAGGAAATGACGTGTGGCACATGCCATGGAACACCTCGGAGAGTCGCCATAGCTGTTCAAGCTTCAAGCCCAGATAGGTAACACTGCATATTAAGATGTTCACTTCCGAGCATGGGCTCCATGTCTGTCTTCCGAACAGCAACCTTCATTCTGAAGTGACAAATGCACATTTTCTGGCCCTGCCCCCCTTGAAAGGCGGCAAATGGAAACCTATGTGTCACACTGCCCCTGAGGCACAACTCCTTGCTACTCTCCTGCCACATGGAGCTCATGGAGCGGAACATTGAGGGACTCCCCTTTTGGGTTTCCACGTTCATTTGGGGAGGGGGGCAGCCATACACTGAAATCAAACATCCAAACCTGGATCTCCTTTGAGTGTGGGCATGTTAGTTCTCAGATGTAAAAACAGCCACGAAAGGATGGTGAGCTGATTTTATGCCCGAGTCTAGCAACTCATGGTCGTGGAAGGTCTGTTTGTGATACCAGAGTGAGCCATGCCCATCACTACTTCATTTAGATGCGGATCTTCTTAGTTGACCTTACATTCATACACCTGACGGATTCTGGGCGAAGTGCCTATGGTCCACTTTGATCCATGTGACCTTCACGCTGTCGGAAGCAACCAGCCTTGACGAGGGCCAGCACCCTACTGCCTGGGGCTTGCTGACTGCTCTGGGGTCTCACGATCCACTTTGTGCTGGCCAATTGTTCTGCGTGTATGCAAAGACACACCAATGCGTATCGCTTTTGAGGGTACCCCTTCTTGGTTAGTTTTGAAGGGAAACCAAAAGGAAGCCCACTTTACAAAAAAACACACACACTCATATCGACACGGTCTATGTGTATGTTTTTCATACAGATCAACAAAAAGCTACAAAGGCAAAATCCCTTATATACTCAACCATTGAATTGAAGACACAGAAAGCCGGGCCCTCCTGTGATCCGCTCTGTAAAATACACATCCAAAATCTGTGGTGCGTTCAGTAAATGCTAGGGTGTCCAAGGTGCGGTGTCTGGTTCCTAATCAAGAAGCTCGACAAAAGGGGTGACCGTTGGCACCATGACTGAAACCAAACCCAAGATGTGCCAATTTTCGACCCGAGGGTTCCCGCATAAGCATGCCAATGCTGATTTTCCAACCCTGCCATCCCACTTCAAGGGATACGCCTGCGCATGATTGCAGCGCAAGCGATGTTCGGTACCAACATGCATATCTCCAGGATCTGCAGGCTTGTTGGCGTAGGTCTCCCTTTTGAGTTTTAAGCACTCTCGGAAATCGACAAAATGGCCATGCGTAGAGAAGTGTCGTCACGTTGTTTTTTCAGCGGACTACATGTTTGTCGGATGTTAACTTCTATAACAGAGCTTAACCCACAGCACCGGATTGGTTGGCACCAGGAACATGCAAGCTAAACGCAGCAGCTAACTGACTGGGAGGCTTTTCAAGGAGTGACTGGCCAAATG